GGAATGCAACGTTTGAGATCAATCGTGTCCGAACGCCATTCCTGGAACTCTAGCCATGCGGATCTTTGAAACTGCTGCAAATTGTCACGACGAATGTGCGCGGCGCCAAGGCGAGGGCCAAACCTTTTGACAAGGAACCGCCCTCCGTCAGTGAAACGGGCGCACATTTTTTACGACGAGTGTGCACAACGATACAGGGAGAGCCGCATTTCGACAACCATCCGCTCTCCATCCTTGAAGCTTTTGCGCATTTCAAGCTTCAGGATTATACATGGTGAGGAAGCCTCAAGCGAAACGCCCGGCCCGCCCTACCAACACGTCTGGGGGTGCGACAGGGAAGAGCTATAATCAAGGAAAACAGATGGAGGATGAGGATGAGGATGAGGAGGAGGAGGAGCACAAGGAGGAGGATGAGGATGAGGATGAGGATGAGGATGAGGATGAGGAGGAGGAGGAGGAGGAGGAGGAGGAGGAGGAGGAGGAGGAGGAGGAGTTCGCTGGAATTCGCTGGAAGGCGCGGCCCTACGGCGGCCGCCAACCCACCCTCGACGCGATCGCCCCCAGGGTTCTCGGGCTGACGGCCGCCGCCCCCTCGGCTCGCCAGTGGTGAGCGCTGGAGCGAGGTACCAGCACCCCCCCCCTCTCGCAACAGCCCTCGACCTTATCGCCCCCACGGATCTCGGGCTGACGGCCGCCGCCGCCCCCGCGGCTCGCCAGCGGTGAGCGCTGGAGCGAGGCACCGCCGAACGGCGGGGGGGGGGTTCAAGGGCAACCCCGAACCCAGGCGAACAACAGAGAGCAGCGAGACCCCCTCCTCCCAACTCTTGTCCAGGACTCCCAGGCCGTGCTAACACCCCCCCCCTCTCGCAACAGCCCTCGCGAACGGTGCGCTTGCACAGCCGACACCCAGTGCGTCGGGGACCTCTTCTGCAGGACCTTGTGGCACCCACCGCACTCGTGGGCGAAGGACGGCCTCGGGGATAGCACGAGGCCGCGGCCCGCCGGGCAACAGCTCGGATCGACGCCGCCGCGTGTCGTGGCCAGTGGGTGTTCGAACACGTCGCCGACGCCCTCGTCCTGAACCGGCCGCGTGGCCACATCCTGCACGCCGAACCGGCGCTCGGAGCTCACGGGATGGCTTGGCGACGCCAGAGCGCACTGCAGCCGCTGCTTCTGACGTGCCAGATGCACGACGAGGTCGAGCGGCTTCGCGCCGGGCGGCTCCCCGAGAACGGCCCCACCCTGAGTGCCCTCCCTCCGCCTTGGGGGGTGGGGGCTGGGACCCCACGACAGGAAGCTGGCAAGGCTCCTCCACCCCCTGCACATACAGTCGGACCTAAGACGGAGAGTAACATCCCCCAGGAACACGAGACCCTCCGCAGGCCAGAAACGTGCAGCACCAGAACACCCACGGGTATATACCCTCCCCAGGATGCACAAGAGCGTCCAACAAGCACGAAGAACACAAGGGCACCCTCCCAAAGCCGACCTCGATCTTATACCCTGGTCCGACCGAAGACCATGGAACCACCCCCCACGACGCTGCTCTTGGGCTCCTCGGGCAGCACGCTCCGGACGCCAGGCACGAACTCCACCGCTTCCACAGAGGGTTGTGCCGAGGTCCAGCACCTCGCGCCGTGCTTCGAGACGGCGTCCACGCTGAGCTTGGCGAAGCGTGGCAGCCTCCGCCGCCGCCGCCCCGATCCCGACGGCATCGGCGTGGCGGTACCAGTGCTGGCGTGAGAATTCCGAGGCACTGTGCAACCTCCGCGTCGCCGGGGAGGACCTCCAGGGCCGCCTCCGCCGCCGCCAGCTGTCCGCGGGCGGCCACGTGCTCGCCCGCGCGGTTGGCCACGGTCGGGGCGGCGGGCCTCGGCGGAGCGCGCAGGGTGGAGCAGAAACTGCGTCCTGCCGCACCGCTCCCGAGTGCGGGCGGCCGACCACCGCCTGCAGTTGGAGACCGGACACGCACGAATGGCCAGCTTGAGCAAGAGGAGGTTCGCCCGCTGCGGGCGCCTTGAGCCAAAACGGCTACGGATGAGGAGGGTCGAGGAGGATGAGGAGGAGGAGGATGAGGATGAGGATGAGGATGAGGAGTAGGAGGAGGAGGAGGAGGAAGAGGAGGAGGAGGAGGAGGGTCGGAGGAGGAGGAGGAGGAGGAGGAGGAGGAGGAGGAGGGAGGGAGGAGGAGGAGGAGGGAGGAGGAGGAGGAGGAGGAGGAGGAGGAGGAGGAGGAGGAGGAGCAGGAGGAGGAGGAGGAGGGAGAGGAGGGGATGGGGAGAAGAGGAAGAGGAGGGTCGAGGAGGAGGAGGAAGAGGAGGAGGAGGGTCGAGGAGGAGGAGGGTCGAGGAGGAGGAGGAGGAGGAGGAGGAGGAGGAGGAGGAGGAGGAGGAGGGGGAGGGGGAGGGGAGAAGAGGAAGAGGATGATGGGCCACCGTTGCGGGGAGTGCAGGGAGGGACGAGGCGCGAGGGCGGAGCCAGGCAGGGCGAGGCAGCGGGGCGAGGCTGACCAGCGCCGAGCCAAGACATCCGCGCGGGCCTCCGAACATTTCTGCTCGTGCAGTCTTTCAAGGGGCCCAAGGACACACAAACAAATACACACAAATAAAAAGATTCCCCATATTTTCCCCATATTTTTTGGATTCTCGTTTTCGCCCCCACTTCCCATATTTTCCCATCTATTCCTTGGAATCGACGATCCATTGTGTCTGTGTGTTTTTCCCCTCCTGAATCTTTTCTCTCTGGAGTCTCAGAATTCCGGGGTCTTCTCAGGCGGGCCCAGGGGCTTCCAAGAGCCCCCCTGCCTTGCCAACGCCCGCCGGCCTCCGAGAGGGCCAATTTCCTTGCACTTCGGGCCACCCCAGTGTGCGCGCCGCTGAAGAGTCGACGGCAAACCACTCCATACGGTCATGGTGTGACCATAAGAAACGATAAGTAAGGAACGACGCCCTTTGGCCCCAAGATAGACTGGGTGCACGAGGAGCGCTAGATGAACAATCATGGAAGGACCTAATTAATAAACAAGTTCGTGTCGTGACGACGTCGGCCTTGCTTTCTGGCATATCGTGGATCGTTCAACCTTGTACGATCGCGGCTTTCCAGCAACACGGATCGCTCGACATCGGCAGATTTAGGGCCACTGGCGGCGTTCAACCTTGAACGCTGGCGCCAGAGCAGATACGTCCGACGATGTGTTTTTCAACCCGCGGCTTTTAGGGCCTCCGGCCCCTTCCCTGCGGAGGTCACTTTGCGCCCTGGACCCGTTGTCGAGGGACCGAGGGCCTGAAAGCGGGCCCTGGAAGCCGAAACCGAGGAAAGTCGCTGGCACTGAAACAACTTATCCTTGCGAAGGATCCAATCATATGCAGCTGTGGGTGCCGCAAGGCAGGTGGGCGAGCTCACTATGGGGCCACGACGCGTGCGAATGGTGCGCTGCACTGTGTCACATCCTCGGGGCTCTGGATGGCCGCCGCACCGTCGCGGGGCGAACCTGCCGCACACGGCAATACCAGAGCCACCGGAAGAGTTAGGGCTCGGGCTTGGACAGATTTCAGGTTATCGCACGTGCAGCACGCAACACGACGGAGGTGGGTCGTCAAGGCGACTCGCCTCCCGCTGGTGCTCCGCGTGGCGCATAGCCCGCAGCCCTGGCCGCGCCAAGGGCCGTCGCCACGCTGGCTGGGGACGGCTCCGCGCCCAAGTCGAGCGAGAACCCCTCGATGTCGCTCGTCGGCAGCAGTCTCCATGCTCCCATGCAAACCTCCTCGCGCTGCGGAAAACCATGACGGAACATCTTGGCTGAAATTATTCTGCTTCTGGGGGCCCTCACCAGGCCCCAAGTTTGCCAACCGAACAAGACACCAGCCCCTGAGGGGTCGGAGACCTCTGGGTGTCCAGGTGGAGAACAAATCACGGCGTCGGGCGTGTAAAACAATCCTGGCGGCGCGGCCTGGGAGGGTCCGCTCACGCGCGCGCACGGCCGTGGCTGCGGGAGCGGTCACGGTGGATCGTGTTTGCGCAGAGCGTGCCTCCTTTCTCTGTGTTGTTTGTGCGCAGAGCGTGCCTCCTTTCTCTTTGGTCCGATGCGCGGCACCACGGAGTCTGGCGACTTTGGGCTGACAGCTCAAGCCGAAATGGCCAAAGGCCAGGAGGAGGAGGAGGAGGAGGAGGAGGAGGAGGAGGAGGAGAAGGAGGAGGAGGAGGGAGGAGGAGGGGGAGAGGAGGAGGAGGAGGGAGGGGGAGGAGGGAGGAGGAGGAGGAGGAGGAGGAGGAGGAGGAGGAGGAGGAGGAGGAGGAGGAGGAGGAGGAGGAGGAGGAGGAGGAGGGAGGAGGAGGAGGAGGAGGAGGAGGAGGAGGAGGAGGAGGAGGAGGAGGAGGAGGAGGAGGAGGAGGAGGAGGCGGAGGAGGAGGAGGAGGAGGAGGAGGAGGAGGAGGAGGAGGAGGAGGAGGAGGAGGAGGCGGAGGAGGAGGAGGAGGAGGAGGAGGAGGAGGAGGAGGAGGAGGAAGAGGAGGTCGATGAGAATAAGGGGCAAGAGCAAGAGCGACTCCGTCGCGCTCCGTTGTCAAAGGCCCGGGTGTTGCCAAAGGCGTCCCTGGCCCAGGGCGTCCCCGCCATTCCCAGGGAGGCCCGGGCCTCTGGAGCAAGCCTCGCGAAGCCCCGAGGGCCTCGGGAGCTCCAAGATGGCGCGAAAGGCCAGGGGCACCCTGTGTCAGGGCCTCCGCTGGCAACACCCGACCTGTGCAGCACGGTGCATGGCACGGCCAGGTACCGTCGGGCTGCTGGAAAAAGGAGCGCCAGATGCATGGAACGAAGCTCCTCTTTGGCCTCACGAGCGCCTCGGTGCCACAGGAGGGCAAGAGAAACAGGGAGGGAGGAACCTCAGGAGCATCGAGCCCCTCACGAGCCCCAGTTGTTCCTTGCTCCAGCGTCTTGACCTGTGCCGGCCGTGGCCGCGGCGGCCGCGGAGGCGGCCACGGCTCGCGCGGGGGGCGCGGCGCGCCTGCGCCGCCGCGGCGGCGGCCCGTGCCGCCTTGGCGGCGGCCTCCGTGGCGACCTCGGCGGCCTCGGGGCGGAGGCGCAGAGCTCCCCGCGGGAGGCGCCCTCGTGTTGTGGAAGGGTGGTCGTGGCCACAGAGGCCGCCCAACTGGGGTCCGAGTAGATGGGGTCGGAGGATCGCGCCGCATCGCCGATGCATCGCCGATGCATCGCCGATGCATCGGCGATGCATCGGCGATGCGTCGGCCTCCTCGGCGATTTTTCGGCCTCCGCAAGTCGGACTCCGGGTCCGACAGAAGAACGACTCGGGATGAAACGCCAGCCCTGGGGCAAGGGTCGAGACTCCTGTGGACACCGTGTGGGAAAAGCCAGGCGTCGGACGCCCGGGGCTGTCGTCGCGGCGACGCAGTCTGGGCCACTTGCCTGCCCCTCTCCTCCGCCGTCGCACTCTTGTCGTGACACGGGCCCCCACGGATCTCGATCCCTTCCCCTAAGGCGGGCTTTTCCGCCCGAGCCGTTCTCGGACGGTGCCGGGGCCGGGACGCGGCCCTCAGAGGCCGAAAGCGACGTCACAAAACTGGCCGTCGCGTTTGTTTGTTCCAGCCCTCCTGCGTTGGGTTCTCGTTTGGAGCAGAGCGCGGTGGTCTCCACTCAACCTCCCCCTCCCCCTCCTTCCCCCTCCTCCTGCCTCCTCCTGCGCTGCTCCGTGGGAGGCTGCGAACTGCGCTCTGTCGCCACTTTCGTGGGCTTCTGGGAGGTCCAGCGGAGTGGAGTTGCACGCGGACCCATTGGGGACCTCGCTGCTCCCTGGGTGGCTGCGAACTTCGCTACTGTCGCCACTTTCGTGGGCTCCTTGGAGGTCCAGCGGGGCGGAGTTACACGTGGACCCATTCTGCACCTCGCTGCTCCCTGGGTGGTTGCGAACTGCGAAAAGACAACCACTTTCGTAGGCTCCTTGCCAAGGAGCCGGCACCAACGGACCACTGTCAACCTCTCACAGCCGCTCCCCACCGTATCCAAATGCCCACGACAACGATCGTGATCGACATCCACATAGACGATAATAATGCTTTTCCACTAGATTTCGCTCAAGTCCCAGGGTCTCAAGAAAGGCGGATTAGCTTGCTTACCATTGGGGCCGGATCTGTAGGTTTTCAATCTTGTTGTAGGTTGTCAACGCAAACCTGAGATTGCCAGCATCAGCCGAAAGCTGAAACGAAGGTGGGCCATCATTGGTCATCCAAAGCAAGGGCGAAGAGGAGCATCCCTGACGCACGCCCCAGTCCTCAGGGAACGAAGGGAGCACGACCCCACAAGACTGCGCATGTACTTTTTTGTTAGCGTAGAGGTTCATGAAGATGTGAGAGGGCTAACGAGGGGTGCAAATAATCTGGCGAACGGATATCGCCCATTCAATGAACCGGCAAGGGAACGCTGCTCTGAAGTACGTGAACAGCTGGGAAGCCACATCGCCCTCCTCAAGGTGAGCTGGCAATCCGCTCCCCTCGCGCGCGATGATCGTGTCCAAGATCGACGGGCCAAGGACCCCCCCAGGACTAGGGCGAGTGGGTAATGGTTTTGCTGACTCATACAGGTGTAATTGTGGCGGCGGTGACGAGCATGCAATCCGCGCAGCCCACCAAGAAAGGACAGTTAGCGGAGGGCCTCCTGGCTGGGACAGTGGTAGCGCCAGTAGGGTGACCACCTTCAGCTAGGACAGGCCACCAACATTTCGTGGAAACCACGGGGCAAAAACTCTTCAGCTTGATAACGGCAATGCAGGTGGAACTCTTAAAGGATGTCCTGGGCCCCATGGGGGCTTGCAGCAACTGTAGGGCACGCCATCGATGGCAAGCACGAGCCCCCCAAGAGACCCCGCCATCTAAGTACAGTTTAGACGATCAACCACCCGCTCAAAGTCAGGGGTCTGGTCGCTGATCTTCTGGGTGCGCGGAAGACGGGTAGCCCGAATAGAGCGGTCAATTAGTGTCGCCTCACCCCCCCGAAAAAGTGACGCGCCAATTCAGTCCCTGCGAGCTGCGCCAACGTGCATGGCGCACTTGTGTCCTCGGCCAACATATTCCCAAGCCTCGCAGACTTGTTCAACGAACGCCATCGCTCACGATTGCGCGGCATGCGCGCGCATGCGCGAAATCTCGTGCTCAAGAATTTCAAAGGCCTGCGGCAGTGCCTCCTCCGCATCATCAAGCAACGCCCGTGAGGAGATGGGCGGGGCGGCAACGCGCCAGCTTCAGAAATTCAGCGTGGGCCTCGTGAGTCTCTACCTTGGTTCGAGTTACCTGAAAAGCCATCGGCGACATCGGGGTCTCAGAATCGATTTCGCCCAGCCGTTCAGCAAGCAACTCGCCATATCCCGCAGTGCGTGGGATGATGGGCGGAATTTTGGGAGGGCCTTTGCTGATGCAGGAATTCGGCGAAGCAGCGACCATCGTAGGTGCATGCTCGGATGTTTGTTATGTTTGTCGGCGCGCCGATGGTTGCGCCTGTCGCCGCATAGTCCACCAACGCAGAGGGGTGGGCATCCACGTAGACGCGATCCAAGTGAGCCGTTGTGGCAATGGGCCCTGGCGCGCACGACGAGTGTCCTCAGGCTGGAAGAGTTTAGCCCAATTCCCGAAGAAAACGCTCAACTCCCTGGTCAACGTTGCGTCTCCCCTGGAGGTGGTGCCCTGATTCATGCTGAAACGGCAATCATCGCTGTGGGCGGAATTGAAGTCGCCAGAAAAGATGCGAGTAGCAGAAGCGGCAGGAAAGAAAACAAAACGAACGCAAGAGAGGCAATGGCGGTTGTATCCGGCACCAACGTCTATGCTCGGAAGACTCACGGCCAAGATTGACGACGGCCCGAGCTCTCCCCGCCCGGAACGTAGGATACCTCCTCCTGAAACAACACCTTCTGAATGGAACCGAGACGCTCAGAGGCGAAATTCTCCCGAATGCAGACCGGAACCATGTGCCCGAGAACTTCTTCAGGGCGCGGGTCGAATAATAAAGTGCGCGAGGGGGGCTCTGCCGCGCAGCAGCTACATGTCCAGAGTGACTGTGGGACTCTTGGATGCAAGCGATCGGGCGTCTCCAGATGAGCACACTACAGCGTCTCCACCTGGCACAAGCTCTGTTTCTCTTACTGGACACTGGCGAAACGACCTCTAACATTCCAAGTGGCAATAAACATCCGTTTCCTCGGGACGAAAGAAAGGAATATCGACGCCTCCAGCTCCCGCAGTGAGAACTGCGGCTCATGGAAGCGGCCTGCGCGCAGGAAAGAGACAAGTTCCTGTGTGAGACGCCGAGTCCACGAAGGGACAGTATCATAATTAGCAGGCAGACCGACGCCAAACGAGCGACCCAGCTCACGCCCGGTCTACAATCCCGCGCTGCTTGCCCAGGAACCCCAAGGCACCAAAGTGGAGTAACAAATTAATTGCACGAGGATCTTCGGGCACCGTATTATGCCTCTGTGCGCACTGGAGCTTGTACACGTCACCACTCTTCTCGCTCTGAAAGAAAGCGAAAACGCTGCCACCAGACGAATCGATTTTCCAGCCAGCGAGGGCGGGGATTGCTTTGATGACATCCTCGAGCTCAACTCGATGTTTACCAGAGGCAGTGAACTGCTCGTCGGTCTCACCATCGCTAGAAGGCTTCAGGCGAAAAGCCTTCTCCGCCTTGGGCGTCTTGCGCTGGAAGCCATCCGTGAAGTCACGGCGGGAGGTGGCAATGTTTTTGCGTCCGCTGCGGCCGCCGGGGAGAACGCCAAGACCACTTCCTTTGAAACAAATGTGAAGGGCAGCCTTCGTCGCGTCTGGACCTCCTCAGACGCAGATGCGAAACAATAGTCGCGACGCTGGCCTCACGCAGTACCTTACGAGTGAACTCACACCCCCTGGTCCCAGCGGAAATGTCCACTGGCACGAGAGTCGAGGGAGGCTGGGCGAAAGCAGCGAGCAAGAGCGAGACGAGGTTTTTTCCTGGACACCACCATCTTCGCCGCTGGAACTGCTGATCCCTGCGCGGGAAACTGCCGACGACCATTCGGTGATTTTTGCGAAGGCGGCAACTGTCTTCCGAGCTCGCCTTCTGAATGTCGAGGCAAGTCGGTGTACTCTCGATGGAAGAAGCAAGAGCGGCGACCTGAGTAGAGAGAGAGAGAGAGAGAGAACAAAAAAACAAACAAAAAGAGAGCGAGAGAGAGAGAGAGAGCGAGAGAGCGAGATATATCTAGATAGAAACAAACGTGTATATATGTATATATATATATATATAGAGAGAGAGAGAGAGAGAGAGAGCAGAGAGCACACCAAGGGACTCATTGATCTTCTCGGAGGCGGCACTCATCTTGGCCACCTCAGCAACCAACTCCGCGACCGAGACAGACTTATCAGACTTCTGCGGCGCCATCGCGCCCCCGAGAGGATCGGGATCCGAGCAAGTCGGATGGAATCGCAAGCGAAGCAAGGACAAATGTGCCCAGATGTCCAACGGTCCCGTCAACTGCGAGCCAGCTCGAAGCACCAGGGACTCGCGCTTCGAATTTGAACCAACATGGCTACGGATGATGAGGATAATGATGATGTGATGCTGATGCTGCTGATGATGGTGATCATGATGACGATGCAGATGTTGATGAGCTGCTGCTGATGATGATGAAACTGATGATGATGATGATGATGATGATGATGATGATGATGATGATGAGGATTACGAAGATAATGGTGATGGTGATGATACTGACGATGCGAATGATGATGCTGCTGCTGACGAGGTTGAAGAGGGGGATGGGCTACGACCCTATGGGCGAGGGACCCAATCAGGAAGAGCGCGTGCCGGGACCCTATGGGCGCGAAGCTCCTGAAGGGCCCATGGGCGAGGACCACATGCGTGAGGACCCTGAGGCCCAGGACCTCATGGGCGTTCTCTTGGCGTGGACTGCGACGCTCTCTGCAGCGAGGACCCTCCTGGCGAGGATCCCGCGAAGGTGGAGTCCTGGGTGCCCGGTGCTCGCAGGCCGGGCCAGCGGCCAGACAGCGTGGGCACACTTTGGCGGCGGCGGCGTCGGCCTCCGCGTCCTCCTCCTCGAGCGTAGCTGCGAGCCGAGTCCCTCCCACATCCGCAGCGCGCCGACGCGCGGGCGACCTGGTGTCGCACGCAGCGCATTACCTCCCTGGCGCATTACCTCCCTCCTCCTCCTCCTCCTCCCCCTCCTCCTCCTCCTCTTAGCTCTTCGGTCCGGACCCCCTTTTGCTGGCCCGGCGGGCGCCCGAGGGCAGAGACCGACGAGCACGACGCCGAGGCCAGAGCACACCGCCTCGGCAAGAGCGCGCGCAGCCCCGGCGCACGGGCACGGCACGCGCGCGGCGCGCGCGCGCGGGCCCCTGCCGGCGGACGAGGGGCAGGCACCGAGGAGAAGACCTCCATCCTCAAGGAGGGGCCCTCGAAGAGGAATCCCCTCGACCCTCGAGGAGGGGGCCCCTCGACCCTCGAGGACTTCGGGGAGGAGGAGGCAGAGGCGCGGGCTCCAGGAGCCGGCGTCCAGAGTCTTTCCGTAGACGGTCCCCCCTGGAGATCGGGGCCATTTCCCCGGGGCCCCGCTTTTCACACGGAGCCGCTCTTTGGCGGCCCCAGGGCCTGGCGAGGGTCGCCAGAAGCCCCGAAAACAGTTCAAAACGTCCGTCGACTTACAACCCTCGACAAAATCCCACCAGCTCGCTGGGCGCAGGTGGTCTAGAGCGTTCCCTTTTGCAAGTCCTCCCTTCCCCTTTTCGAGAAGGTTTATCTGCCCCACCCCCTCTCTGGGTCTGGACGGGGGGGCGGGCATGAGGGGTTGGAGCGCCCAAGACGGCCCAAAACGGCCCCAAGAGGGCCCAAGATAGCCCTATATTGCCTCCAAGATGGTTCCAGACAGCCGAACATGGTTCAAGATAGCCTCCGACGTACCTCCAAGGGGCTCCAAGACGCCCCCCCTGGCGGTTAGAGGTGCCTGCGGCACCCTCCAAGGACGCTCCCAAGAGGTCCCGAACCCTTCCAACACCAGAGGAAAATCATTGGTTGTTGCCTCGCCTTTTCGATTATGATGAGCCTTTGAAGCCTAAAGATGGCCCCAAGATGGCCCAAGAGAGCCCCAACATAGCCCCAAGAGGCCCGCAAGAGGGCCCCAAGAGCGGCCCCAAGAGGCGACTTGTCAGCCTCCCAGGGGGGGCGCCGAAAACCGCCTTCGCCCTTTTTGAGCCATGGCCTCCAACATCGCCCCAAGAGGGCCCCGAGATTCCCACCCCCGAAAGGCCTAAGAGGCTACCACGGCTCCAAGTGGGCCAACCACCCTGCCAAAATGGCCCCCAGATAGCTCCAAGAAGCTTCCAAGAGGCTCGCGGAGCGAACGCTCCGCGCAGGCTTGACAGGCCTGCTCAGGCAGACCCAAGGCTTCGCTTCAACGGTCTCCCCAGCTCCCTGTCCCAATGCATGTTACCTCACTTCCCTGATCAAGGAAGGTCGCCTGGGCATCGTTGCTGGCTGGGCTGGTGGGGATATGATCAATTTCAAACGTGGTTGACACGGCACTTCGATGTCTTCCCCATTCGCCCATTCAGTATCGCCCCGTTCGCCCAGTCAAGGTCTCCCCCTGTCACCCATTCGGTGCCGCCCCTTTGGTGCGGTCTTGGCGGGTGCGACTCGTAGGTCCCACGATGACCAATCTTGGGAAAAGGGGGACGCCGACATGCGCCCGGCGCACGCGCGACAACGCAACTGTGTGACACATTTCGAACAAACCTTTGTCATGATAAATAATTGTGTCAAAACGTTGAAGCCCCAGGACACCCTCCGAAGCATTCCAAATCGTGACCCGGTCGTTCAGGGAGACCGTGGTTGGAGGCAGGGTGGCCCGAGGAAGCCCCCAGAGGCCCCCAGAATACGCCCAGGAGGCCTCCAGAAGGCCTCAAGAAAGCCTGAGACCATCTTTTTTTAGGCCCCCAGAGGCTCTCCCAGGAGGAGCCTCCGCAAAAAAAAGCTGAGGAGGATAGGGAGAATGCGCCCGGTATGGCGAACATGAGGAAAAAGAAGCATGGAAGAAGGATAACGAATCTCATTATCATAGCGGCGATGCCGGAAAAGGCAACAAGGAGTTATCGCTAAATTGTCGGCTTGATCTTCCTGCTATTCCGCCTGAAAACCAAACTTCAAGGGCCAAGGTGCATGGCGCGAAACGCCACTGCAGTCTTGTATATACATATATATATATATATACAGATGGGATGTTTTAATACATGATTAATTTATGAATGAAACTATGCATGAACTCATCGTTGTTTTTAGAACTAAATCCCTGTATTTTCAAAACATGGTCCGCACGCGGAGCATGTATTAAAAACGGCACTGTGCGTTGAAGGTCTGGAGGCGCGCAGCACGTGGCGCGCGGGGGTACAATCTCGACGCACGACGCACGGCGTGCGCGCACGGCCCTGGGCGCGCGGAGGTGGGCGCGGGGGGGCGGCCTGCGCCGCAATCTGCGCCTGCTCCGCGGCGGTCGAGGCCGCGGCTTCCATGCGACGCCTCGGACGCGCGAGGGAAGGGCAGGCCTATATTTCTGTCATCTTCTTCTTCTTCTTCTTCTTATTGTTCTTGTTATTGTTATTCTCCTTGTCTTCGTCCTCCTCGTCCCCCTCCTCCTCGTCCTGCTCCTCCTGATCCTCCTCCTGCGCCTCCTGCTCCTCCTCCTCCTCCTCCTCCTCCTCCTCCTCTTCCTGCTCCTCCTGCTCTTCCTGCTTCTCCTTTTTCCTCCTGCTCCTCCTGCGCCTCCTGCTCCTCTTGCTCCTCCTGCTCCTGCCCCTGCTGCGGCCGCGAGTCCGGCCAGCTGGGCGCTCCACATACTGAGGGGGGCGAAGTGTCCAGCACGTACTTGCCCTGGCGGACCCCGACAAAACGGCCGGGTGGCCGCCGGGGTGCGCCGAAGGGTTTCGCCCCCCAAGGTGGCCCAGAAAGAATCCCAGACGAACCCGTGGACGTGGCGCGTGGGTCTCTCAAGGCGGCGTGCTCTCCTCTGGCCCCTCCGCGGCCTCCCACCGCCTCCGCCGCGCCTGCTCGTCGTCTTCGTCCTCTGGCACTCTTGTCGCCTCATCTGTTCCCCGGCCTCTGGCCTCCACCACCACCTCCGCCTCCTCCTCCTCCTCCGCCTCCTCCTCCTCTTCCCCACGCCCACCGCCTCGTCCTGAGGTTCTTCTGCCCTCTGGCCGGCCGGCGCCACAGTGGCCTCCCCGCCGCCCCCTGTCGCCTCCTCTGCTCGTCGGCCTCCTCCTGATCCGCACCCGCTGCCGCCGCCTCCTCCTCCTCCGTCGCCGCCGCCTCCTCCTGCTCGTCTTCCTCGTCGGTACTCGCCGCCCTCACGCGGGCCACCTCCGCCAAGGAGCCTCGTCTGCATGCTGGCGGTGCAAGCGAAGTCTGGCTGGCGTAAGCGCCCGCGCGCTCGCGATGCGCCAGGCGACCGAAGCCTGCGCGGCGGTGCTGGCCTGCTGCCAAAGGCCAGCCGCCAGCGCCAGGGCATGCTACTCGCCGCCTGCCATGACGGCCAACATGCCGACGGTCGCCTGCGCGCTCTCGCCTGGGCGGCCCCCCAGCTCAGCACGCGCGGGGTGCCAGTGAGCCCCGCGTCGCGCCGCCGCTTGGCCCGTGGCGCGTGCGGCCGCCTGAAACGGCAACATCAATGGCCACGCGCTGGCCGACGTCCTTGAAGACTGCGTCCAGCACGCTCCCGGCCTCGTCGTCCGCCGTCGCGTTTTCTCCAGGGCCTGCGCCCGCACGCTCTCGAGCCGGCTCGCGGAGCGCGCGGGGCTCGGTGTGCGCCTAGATCGAGCGCCACAATATGTCACAGATCTCGGTGTGTGTGTGTGTGTGTGGCTTCTGATGCGTAACCTCGCCGTCGATCTTGCGCCCCTCTGCGTGCACGAGACCCTCGAGGCCATCCAGCTGCGCCCCGCGAGCCCCCAGAGTGCCGGAATGATGGCAATGCGTTTCCGCATGCGCCGGAAAGACTGGCTGCTCCTGCTCCTGCTCCTGCTCCTGCTCCTGCTCCTCCTGCTCCTGCAGCCGGGAGTCCGACCAGGCGCACCACATACGGGGGAGACGAAATGTCTGCGCACCCTGGCGACCCCGGCAAAAACGACTGGGTGGTTGTTGGGGTGCGCCGAGGGACTTCGCCTCTCCCGGAAAAAGAAAACAGACGAAACTGCGGAGGAACCCTCCGTGGGCCCTCCGCACATCCTGCTCCTGCTCCTGCTCCTCCTGCTGCTCCTCCTTCTCCTCCTCCTGCTACTCCTCCTCCTCCTCCTCTTCGTGCTGTTGCTTCTCTCCCTCCTCCTCCTCCACCTCCTTTTCCTCCTCCTCCTCCTCCGTCATTAGCATCCAACTTTCTGAAATCTTTCGCCCCAGACCGCTTCTTGGTGACCCTGGGATCCGGTGAAGGGCCCTGGAAGGCGAAGGCTGCCGCAAAACCTTCCGCCCTGTCCAGAGGTTCTCGCAACGGCTGTTCTGTCGCGCACCTTTGCTCCCCGGAAGCTGGTCTCCGGGCCTCCGTGCCGTCGACAGGCCGGCTCGGGACGAAGAGCCAGCCCTGGGGACGGGGTCGAGAGGTCCAGGGGCCCACGCATCTGGCCGCGCGCAGAGTGGGCGTGGCGCGAATGGGACGGCCTTCCAAGAAGGTGCAAAGGGGCTTCGACGAAGGCAGGTGGCTTCTGAGAAATCCTCCCCGCCTCTAGAGAGCCAGCCTTCTTAGCAGCCCCCAGAAGGCCCCTGCCTTCTGAGATCCCCCCTCCCCCGCCTTCTCAGCACGCCGGCCCCCTCGCGCCATCCCATCCTTGTGCGCGCCGCTGGCGCATCGGAGAAACATCGAAGGGCCAAATGTCTGGGAACCCTGCGCATTGTTTTCCAAGCGGCACTGGAGGTCCGAGGAGGAGGGGGGAGGACGAAGGGGAGGACGACAACGAGCTCAGCAAGACGGCGGAGGTCTGGGCGGGAGGGCCGGTCATCCTCCTGCCGCTCTGGAAAAAGATTATCCCGGCAAAGCAACCTAACAGCGATGTGTAGGAGCATATCTGGAAGCATTCCCCTTAAGATTCAGATGATAATCCAGTTGTAGAATTCTGCTGTTCTCGCAGTCGCAGTCGCATTCGCGATGACAGTCGCAGTGGCAACGGCAGTCGCAGTCGCAGTCACAGCCTCAGCCTCAGCCTGCCTCAGCCTCAGCCTCAGCCTGCCTCAGCCTCAGCCCTCAGCCTCAGCCTCAGCCTGCCTCAGCCTCGCCTCAGCTGCTTCAGCCTCAGCCTCAGTCTGCCTTCAGCCTCGGCCTCAGCCTCAGCCTGCCTCAGCCTCAGCCTGCCTCAGCCTCAGCCTGCCTTCAGCCTCGGCCTCAGCCTCAGCCTGCCTCAGCCTCAGCCTGCATCAGCCTCAGCCTCAGCCTCAGCCTGCCTCAGCATCAGCCTGCCTCAGCCTCAGCCTCAGCCTGCCTCAGCCTCAGCCTCAGCCTGCTTCAGCCTCAGCCTCAGTCTGCCTCAGCCTCAGCCTCGCCTCAGCCTCAGCCTCAGCCTGCTCAGCCTCAGCCTCAGCCTCAGCCTCTCAGCCTCAGCCTCAGCCTGCTTCAGCCTCAGCCTCAGTCTGCCTTCAGCCTCGGCCTCAGCCTCAGCCTGCCTCAGCCTCAGCCTGCATCAGCCTGAGCCTCAGCCTCAGCTTGCTTCAGCATCAGCCTGCATCAGCCTCAGCCTCAGCCTCAGCCTCAGCCTGCTTCAGCCTCAGCCTCAGTCTGCCTTCAGCTTCGGCCTCAGCCTCAGCCTGCCTCAGCCTCAGCCTCAGCCTGCCTCAGCATTCAAAATATGGCCCGGGAATGGAGTTTTGGGAACTCGAAGAACACGAAGTGGCCTGCAGTTGGTTCCGGGCATTCAAAATCATGCCCAGGAATGGAGTTTTGGGAACTCGAAGACCACGAAGTGGCCTACAGTTGGCTCCGGGCATTCAAAATCATGCCCAGGAATGGAATTCTGGGAACTCGAAAACCACGAAGTGGCCTACAGTTGGCTCCGGGCATTCAAAATCATGCCCAGGAATGGACTTCTGGGAACTCGAAGACCACGAAGTGGCCTGCAATCGGTTCCGGGCATTCAAAATCATGCCCGGGAGTGGACTTCTGGGAACTCGAAGACCACGAAGTGGCCTACAGTTGGCTCCGGGCATTCAAAATGTGGCCCGGGAATGGACTTCTGGGAACTCGAAGACCACGAAGGGGCCTACAGTTGGCTCCAGGCATTCAGAATGTGGCCCGAGAATGGAGTTCTGGGACCTCGAAGACCACGAAGTGTGTAACTGTTTGCTTAAAACGACTTCCGCGGATTCTCCCCGCATCCTGCCCCGACCCCCCTGGGGAGTCATGATGCTTTCTATTGAGACCATTAGAAACTTATCAGTCTTCGCTGTTAGGTAATGAGAGCAGAGTTGTTCAAAACTTGCCCTAAGCAACACAGCGCCCAACCGCCCGCCTCGACAAATGAGAAAGACGAGTAGGGGGCCACATGCGAACCCTACCCTACCCCCCACGACTTCTGAAGGGGAGGCTGGGGTTCACTTCGTTCGGGAGCTCACGAGCGAAGTGAACCCCACCATCCCCCTTCAAAATCGTGGGGGGGAGGGGTAGGGTTCGCATGTGGCCCCCTAAACAAAGCGCCCAACATCCTCGACCAATGAGAAAGACGAGGGTTAGGAGCAGGATAGGAAGCAGGAAGAGGAACGCCGCGTGGCACTCGTTTGTGCGCATCGCGCTGTACGAGGACGAGGAGGAGCGGGACGGGAGTGCGGAACGCGCCTACAAGCCAAACGCTCGAAGGGTTTGACACATATATAACATATACGTTTACATATATATATATATATATATATATATATGTATATATATATATATATAGGATTTCCAGGTCGCCCTTTGGGCGACGACACCGTTCCTCGCACAGCTTCTTCGGAGGGAGGCCTTCTTTGATCGTTCTTGGAGCCCTGAGATCCGACGTCGCGAAGAAAGTACAACAGCATGAACAATCACGACCAGAGCCTACGACCCCATCCTTCTGCGGTGCGGCTCGAGCTTGATCGATCCTGCGCAGGCCCCACAGGCACGAATCCGGGCGAAGAAGCCCGTTGGGGAAAACTGCGACGCCAGGATCTCTGGGCCCGCCCCTCCTCCCCAGAACTCCAGCGCCGGTTCTTGTTTGTCTCCCAACGTGGGGCCCCAGATGACTAGACCCCTTCACCGGGGAAACTGTTTTCATCCCGAAAGCGTTCTTGACGGTCTGGGAGCCCGGCCAAGGCTCCTGGAGTTCGCAAGAGGCAAACAGACCTTGTGCAATGATTTTTCCCACGCCACACCTTCCCCTGCTGCGCCTCCCTCCGCGAATCCTTGCCATCTGGAAGAGGGTCTGAGGGCCGGCAAAGGCTCCGGGAGTTCGCAAAAGGCATACAAACCTTGTGTCGTGATTTTTCCTTCGTCACACCTTCCCCTGCTCCGCCTCCCTCCGCGAGTCCTTACCCTCTGGAAGAAGGGCATCGGCATGACTGCAAAACTTTCTTAGGCCCGCGCGACGCGCCAAGGGCGTCGCCGTAGGCGCCGCCCTGCGGGGCCGAGCGCCGATCCCAAAAAATCTGCGCGGAGCTCCCAAAGCTCGCGTTTAGGCAGGCTTTCCTTCTTCAGCCCCTTCGCCGAAGACGCAAGTCCGCATGCAGATCCCCCAAGCGAGTATCGTTCCAAGGTGAAGGGCCCTGGAATCGACCCAGAATCGGCAGCCCCTCGCCGATAGGTCGGCGATGGGGCGCCGATCGCGAATCCGAGTGTTCCTGGGCGTGGTGGGCTATCGGGCCCCTATTGGCGATGAAGGGGCGATTAGGCGTCGATGCGCCCCCCGAGCAAATCTCTCCTGACGCTTAATGCGACGCTGAAGGATGAACGAAGTACTCAACAGCTCACGGCTCCCAACTACAAGGACACTCGGCCGACGCGTTTCTCGCCTGCCTAGACAATAACTCTCTTGCGTCTGGGGCGATTGACCCAGCCTTGCGCGCAGAATGGCGCGCCGGCCCGATAAGTTAGACTAGCGCAGCGGCTTCCTCTTCGTGCTGTGGTGCACACTTGGTTGCCGCCCGTTCCCCGCGCTGGTGAAGTCGTCGGCTCAGGCGTGCAAGCAGCCGAAATCTTGTCAAGCAAACGGCGTGGCACGCCTGATGATTTCAATCGTCGTGGCCGTCATGCGAAATCATTAAAACTGTTTTACGCCGTGCTTGACACGCGTATGAATTAGTAGAACCAGTCTGGACCTGAACGCTCTGCCACAACGCTGCGAACACAAGAACGAAGCAACCCGTGGCTGGGCGAATTGGTAATCGGTTGGCACGCTGGCTGTCGCAGACAGGCTCCGCGAAAACAAACCGCGAAACGATTGACTCCCATTCCCTGGCGTGGTCGCGCGGAAACACCTGCCGCGCCTTAGGGCGCACATCAGGGAGAAGCAGCACCTCCCCGACACAACAGCCAGCCGTTTCGCCCAACATTTTCAAATATTTCGCGACCTGCTGCGTCCAGGGGGGCAGGGGCCAGCAGGCCTCGTCGCGAAGTGGCAACGTGGCCGCGGCCCTCGAAGCGTGCGAAGGTGACCTCCCGGGCCTGCCCGAGTAGCTGAGCCGACGCTTCATCAGTTCGCGATCAGTCGCAGAAGCGCCGAACTGACTGCGCGCTTGTAGAGCGGAGCTCTCGCTGCCATCGAACTGCCAACCATCGAATGCTTGCTTGTGACCGCGCGTGTAGGTCGTGCTCATGGCCCTCCACTTGCGCGCGCTATAACACCGCAAACGCGCATTCGTTACAACGGGAGATAGCGACATTATCACGGAGTGACCGTTTCACAAACATGTAAAGCTTCTCTCCATCCGAACGCGTCCACAGATCGGCGCACGTGCGTGCATGGCCATACTGCTGCGCTTTTTGGCGTAATCGAAATTGCCACCTTTCGCCTCGACCTCCCTGCCGAGATGATTTGACACACCTGTGAGATGCACGACGTTCTCGGACCCAAATGTGGGCAAAACTGATCCACGAACGGTCTGCAGAGACTGCCGCGCGCTGCGTGCATCCTGATCCATCTTTGGGCAAGACTGGCACACCAGCGGTCAGCAAAGACTGCCGCGCACTGCGTGCATCATTCCTCCTTTAAACACGCAGGACTTCTGTGTTCCCCTGTTTGAAGTTGATCATCATCCGATGCCTCGCGAACGCGTCAACAAGAGCACCCCAGAGTACAGTGACATCACAACTGGCACGAGGCGGAAAAGCGAGGATCACGATGACGAGAACATCGATAAACTGATTGAGTGCGACAGCGAAGCATTACTTGAACACAAACCCGCCCCAATTGCACCCCTGGCGGCCCCCACTTTTCGCGAGGGCAAAGCTGTTGGCCCCGCCAGCTTTGAACCGGAACCTTGTGTGGGGGGCGCAAGAACAAGGCGAGTGAGTATCTCTGGCGCCCCCATGCGCTGAAAGGCGCGCCCGCGCTTTCTAACTTAATGAAGGACCCAATCGGCGCAGGGGGCGCCAGCCCCCGCCCCGTGCATGTGATCGAGCTGGGCGGCGTGAGTGTCAGGGGCGTCCTTGGGGAATCCCAAGCACATTTTCCGAATGACCCGTCAAGCGCTGTTACGCCGTCAATGAACAGCGCAAGCGGTCATCGGCCAAGAGCTCTCGGATTGGCCAAAGTCGTCAATGTGAGGTGATGCGCCTACTCGGCCCTTTTCCTTGCCACCGCTCTTTGCTGGCTCGGAGGCGCAGATCAAGCCCCTGCAAACGGGGTGTTCGTAAACGGGGTGATGGCCCAAGGGCCTCTAAGAGCGAGTGCGGGGTGACAGGGCATCTACCTCACACTGGTGCGTGATAAATCGGGGCGACATAATCGTCGATGCATCATCATGACTCTCGGCAGGGGGGATTACCTTGCACTTGTGCGCGGCAAATCAATTCTGCGAGGGCACAATTGAAAACGCACCCTCAGCTACCACCCTGTATACAAACACTCCATTTGCAATGGCTTGGACAGAGGCATGGTGCGCATCCCCTAGGCCATCCTGTCATAACGAAGCGAATGGATTTTCCTGGTGGTCCACAATAGCCAGGCCACGCGAACAATTGAGATCGCGCGACTTGTCCTTGCTTTTTATACAGTCTGACCATGCGGCGCCATTTGTCCTGAAAAGAAACTTCCTCGAGGGCAACGTTAGCCTCGGCCAACTTCGATTGTTGCGCAACCAATGCGGACATCCGTGCTTGCAAGGTGGGTTATCCGATGCCATCGACGCCGAGATCACAACGCATTCTGCTTACTGGTGGCCACGAACAAACTGCGTTGAGATACGTCAGCGGATCCATTCACGACGCATGCGGGGTGATATGTCAAATCCTCTGCAGATCCCGTGACAGAACTTTCGGGAACACCACGCGGCAGTGGCGTTGCACACGCTCCACCATCTGCTCAGCCGATTGAGAAACGGATCCGTCCTGCATTAAAGCAGCGGGTACTGGCTGAGACCGCGCCCTGCGTTCTCTGAACAAAGACAAGCGTTTTCTTACTGTCATGATCATCGGACGCACGCTGCGCATCCAAGGCGATATGACGGAAGGCAACAGACTGGCCAATTTTCACATATGGGGCCGTTGTGTATGCAAACTCACAACAGTATGGAACGCACCAGCTTCTGCGTGGCGAAGAAACTTCGCCCTTGCCCATACATCTTGCATCTTCAACTCTGCGCACCATCCTAAATCGAGGCGCGGCGCGCCAGCGAAACTCTGGGAGGAACGTGCAGAGCGACATGGGCAAACAGAGGCCCAATCAGGAACATACGCGAGCCAAAGCAACACACGCGCACGACTTCTCAACGCACGCATGCATCTCCTCAGCGGCCCCGGCAAGGAAACGAGCTCGAACATGCGTTGCGAAAATCCACGTCTGCCGAGGTTTCCTTTCAATTGGCCCGAACACTTGCGTTGCTTGTTTCTGGGTGTATTCGTAAGGTTCACTGTCGCACCTGTGGACATCTTGACGGCCAGAAGGCTGAAATGAAACAGCCACATGGCATACTGGAACCTCTCAACCAACCAGGGATCTCTCAATGCATCCTTGTCGGAGAAGCATCGATGCCTACAGCCACGGAAAACGCTCCTCCGTTCCTCCGCTGTCACATGCAAGATGACCTGCGCCAGCCGGCGATCGTCCTTGCAGCCCCTCGTTAGGCACGCCGTGTCTGGAAGGCAGCAATCAACAACGCTGTGCAACCATGGGCGCGAAAGGCACAAGCAGTCGATCCTGCTGGTAGTGCCCCCAAGCGACGTCCAAGCGTGCCCCGCGGGCAAACATGTGTTCCCATCACACAGCCCACAAACACCCAGACAACTGCGGAGCAGTTGCCAGTGGCAGTTCTCTGTCCCTGCTTCGATTGCGCCGATCCCCCTGCTGGTAACAGAACCAGCCCTAGCATTTGCACCGAATCGCAACAATACGTTTTGACCTTTTGAATACGCGGTAGCACAACATGACCGACATGAGCCCAACAAGTGTACTTCGCTTCATTGGCGGCCCCCTCGTGCGGAATATCAAGCTGGGTTTCTGCACGCCCAAGCCTGCGTGCCGCAACTGCCGCTCAGGTCTGCACTTGCACTGTACCGATCATACAGAAGGCTTTTGCTTCCTGACCTCTGCTCGCTAGCTTTAAACCGCAGCTCGGACCTTCGGCGGCCTGTCGGAACGATTCTGGCACACGCCCTTCACGAGGCGCAGCTGATGGAAATCACCCATTGAATTTTTTACTTGCTGGGAAACTCCCGAAGCTCTCGATGCGCCGCGCCAGCTGCAGCCCTTTGCCCCTGAGCTGGCGCGCGGGCCGGGAAGGGCACAGAGCGAGGCGAGCCTCCTGCTGTCCGGGGAGCTGTCGTCGGCCAGGCTGGCGGCCTCGATGGTGGCGATTCCCTCGCGCGCGCGGGTGCCTCCGCTCGTCGTCGTCGTCGTCGTCGTCGTCGTCGTCGTCGTCGTCGTCGTCGTCGTCGTAGTCGTCGTCTTCGTCTTCCTCCAAGGGGCCCATTTCGGGCCCTAGGTCCTAGGGTCGTCAGAAAGCGATGCGGGGCGGAAAAGCTGCCCATTATGGACCCCAAGAGGGGTCCACACTGGTCCCGCAACCCTCCTCGAAATCAAGCGCACTTTTTCAATAGTGATAGACGTGCGACGCGCGGCCGTGGGGTCAGATTTTTGTGTTTGCAGTCGCCTCTTTCAGCGCGGACGCTGAGATGGGGGTCCTGGGGCGCCACCACGTCGCGGGAGAAACTTGCGATTGCTTTTGACGAGGGTGGACAAGCGCGTCCCACTACTCGCACAAACCAGCTACTCGCAAATGTCCTGGACCCGCCGCAGGGGATTTACGATATATGACACAAAAGCAGTATGGTTTTTCGGACGATTGCGGGTATGCACTTTGCGAGTACACGTCGTTCATTTCTAATCGTGCTCATTTCTGATTGTGCTCGTTTCTAATGGTTCCTGGCCCCCCAGTGGCCAGGAAGAGGCCCAGGACAGAAGACTTAGGAATGAGAGGATCTTGGCCCCCCCAAGATCAAAGAACTCTCGAATAATTAAAAGCGAACAATGTGTAGTGGAACGCGCTCGGCGAGAGGGACGCAGGGCAGACCTCGGACGGCCGCCGGTGCCGTCGAAAAGCATGGCCACGAGCCCCGCCGCCGAGGCCCCGCGGCCCCGCGGGGCGACGTCCAAGACCGAAGAGAGCACCCCCAGGGCGGAGGGCCCGGGTGCGAAGCCCATGGTGGGTCCTCTCCACGGCTGGGGCTCTTCTCGACCCTCGTGCCAACTCTGCTCCTCGTCGTCGTCGTCGTCGTCGTCGTCATCGTCGTCGTCGCTGTCGTCTTCCTGACCCTCCTGCTAGGATGTGCCTGCGACCCGGCAAGCTTTTTTGCCGACGCCTTTCTCTGCATGCCAGGTTCTTATTGGCAGGGCCCCATGCGGCCTCCAGGGGATCTCCCAGGGCCAGGGTTCAGGGCAGAAGCAGAACGTGATACTACCTCCTCCTTCTCCTCCTCCTCCTCCTCCTCCTCATCCTCCTCTCTCCTAATCCTCCTCCTCCTCCTCCTCCTCCCTGCACATCCTTTTTTCGAACTGCGACGCAGCCCCTGCACGGCTGCCTCGAGCAGGCTGTTTCCGCCGAGGGCCTCCGCTGCCCCAGCGGGGCAGGGGCGGGGGGGAGGAGGAGGAGGAGGAGGAGGAGGAGGAGGAGGAGGAGGAGGAGGAGGAGGAGGAGGGAGGAGGAGGAGGAGGAGGAGGAGGAGGAGGAGGAGGAGGAGGAGGAGGAGGAGGAGAGGAGGAGGAGAGGAGGAGGAGGAGGAGGAGGAGGAGGAGGAGGAGGAGGAGGAGGAGGAGGAGGAGGAGGAGGAGGAGGAGGAGGGAGGAGGAGGAGGAGGAGGAGAGGAGGAGGAGGAGGAGAGAGGAGGAGGAGGAGGAGGGAGGAGGAGGAGGAGGAGGAGGAGGGAGGAGGGAGGAGGAGGAGAAGGAGGAGAGAGGAGGAGGAGGAGAGGAGGAGGAGGAGGAGGAGGAGAGGGAGGAGGAGGGAGGAGGAGGAGGAGGAGGAGGAGGAGGAGGAATTAGGAGGAGGAGGAGGAGGAGGGGGAGGAGGATGAGGAGGAGGAGGCAGAGGAGGAGGAGGACGGGGGGGGGAGGAGGAGGCGGGGAGCGGCCGCAGGCCGGGAGGCGGAGGGCGACACGCGGGGTGCACCGACAATCGGACCCAGGGCTGAACCTAAACTGTGCTTTCCGTTTTCATTTTGTTGTCGTGTTCATTTTCGTTTTGTCTTCGAATCGCCTTTGCCGCAGAACGAAGTCGAAACGGAAACGGCCCACGGAAACGCCAAAACACCGCTTAGGTCCAGTCCTGGTCGGACCTACAGTCGGTCCGTAGCATAAGGATGCGCGATAATAGGGTTGGGTCGGGCATGTCCCCCTAGAGGCGGATTTTGGACGAAACATTAAAAACACCCGCAGAATATTCAAGACTAGTCACAAAACATCGTCCCCGTACTATTTTTCTACTATTCTTAAATATTCCTCCTGTAGAGGGACAGGCCCGACTTGATAATAGGGGGACGAAGAAAGACATTCAGATAAAAACTCGGAGGTCCGCGCGGATTTCTCGGACTGGCGCTGGACCCCCCTCCCTGGCGCGCGGAGCGCGCCAGGGGCGGCGCTGGAGGCACCGCCAGGGGGGTCCAGCGCGGATCCGAGAAATCTGCGCGGACCTCCGAGTTTGCATGCTTATGAAATTCTTCGTTCCCCTAGATAAGGATGCAAGGTCCTTGGACGCCCATGTCGAAGCTTCTTGAACGGGGCGAGGCGACGAGAGTGGTCAATGATGGACCGAGGAGGCAAGGATGCAAGGGTATCCTTGGGAAGGTTGCCCATGCTTACTGTGATGAGGGTTGCCTGTAGGCCAGAAGGACGTCGCTCAAGAGCATGAGACCCTCCGCCGGCCCAACCCGATGAACATTCGAGGGTGCCCTCCCCCAGGACGCACTGGAGCATCCAACGAACATGAAGCACATTATTCTACCCTCCCCGCACCGGCCTCGATCTCATACCCCGGTCCGGCTGCACACCACCAGCACCACGCCTGGCTCGGGACCTTCCTGGGGCCCTGCCCTGGCGCACGCGCCCTCCCTGCCGGGGCCAGGAGGCTCTGTGCACCACCCTTGGGCTCGGCCTTCTCCTCCGGCGTCGCACCTCTTCCGCGGCGTCGGCCCTCGGGCCCTCTTTCCCCAGGGCAGGATTCTCATCCCCTGAGCAGGGACCGACCGTCCTGGCAGTCCTATAAGCCTACCGCGAACCGTTCTTAGAACCCAAAAACGTTCCAAGGACAACAACAGTGCCCTTAGAACATAATCCCGGTGTGTTGAACCAGGGCAGACTCAGCCATACATGTGCTAAGCACATTTCGCGCAGCCCACAAAAGGTTTTTGGAACATTCCTTGGTGGGCTTATAGATAAGTCGGGCCTGTCCTCCTACAGGGGGATATTGGACGACAAATTAAAACTTGCCACAACATATACCAACATGGCCAAAAAATACGGGACAAATCGTCCCCAGACTATTTCTGAACTATTTTTGCATATTCCTCCTGTAGAGGGACAGGCTCGATTTCAGCTTATAGGGAAGCCAGAACGCTTCGCCAGTGCTTGAGAATCCCGAGCCGCGTCTTGACGGCCCCACGGCCAGATGACGGCCTCCCGAAGGCCGAGAGAATGACGCACAGACTGGCCGCCACGATATGCTAGTGCGTCGCCTGGGGATCTGCGAGAGGGGACGGCCCAGGTCGGGCGCGGTGGTGGTGCATAGGTGCCTGCTGCGGAGCGATGCGCTAGGACTCCTATAGGGCAAGCCTAGTTGGAGAGTAGGAGCGCTCAGTGGTGGCGCATAGGCATCGGCATATGCATGGGCATGGGCGTAGGCATAGGAGATAGGGGGAGGCATAGGCATAGGCGTAGACCTATACGACCACCCTTCGGGTGATAAGGAGGTTGTGTGGGGGGGGAGAAGGGGGGAACCAACATCTGACTCAATCGATCTCACTATCGATCTCACTCAACGGGACACCACGGGACACCACGGGACACTTGTCGATCTCACTATCGATCTCATTATTGATCTCACTCAACGGGACACCACGGGACACCACATCGATCTCAGTGTCGATCTCACTCAACGGGTTACCACGGGACACCCTGGAACACCACGGGGCCCCTGTCGATCTCACTATCGATCTCACTATCGATTCCACTCAATGGGACACCACGGGACACCTCGGGGCACCACATCGATCTCACTATCGATCTCACTATCGATCTCACTCAACGGGACACCACGGGACACCTGTCGATCTCACTATCGATCTTAATATCGATCCCACTTTTTGGGACACCACGGGACACCTCGGGGCACCACATCGATCTCAGTATCGATCTCAGTATCGATCTCAACATCGATCTCACTCAACGGGACACCACGGGACACCACGGGACACCATGGGACACCGCGGGACACCGCGAACCACCGCCGGACGGACGGACGGGCGGGCGGGCGGGGTACAATCATTTGTCTTGACTTCGCCCTAGCAACGGCGGACATCACGGGACACCACGGGACACCACGGGACACCGCGAGCCAGTGTTGGACGGGCGGGCGGGGGAGAATCATCTGTCTTGGCTTCGCCCTAGCAACGGCGGGTTCATTCCTCTCGCGCGCCCGCGCAGCTTCGCCTCGCCCGCACGCGCGACACGAGCGAAACGAAACGACTTCCCGGTTGGGGGTCTCCGTTCCGCTGCGATCTCACCCCCCGACCTCCGACACAGCCATCGGAGGTGAGGGGGTGAGATCGAAGTGGAACGGAGAGCCCCCCTACAGGGAAATCGATTTCGGTTTCGTGTTCGTGCGTGCCGTGCGGGCGGGCGAGGCGAAGTTGCGTGGGCGGGCGAGAAAAAATCTCCTGTGGCTGAGGCGCGGCCGGACCAAATGATTCTCCACCGGGCGGCCGGTGGCCCGCGGTGTCCCGCCGGTGTCCCGCGAAAGTCCCGTGTGGCTGAGGCGCGGCCGGACCAAATGATTCCCTTCCGGGCGGCCGGTGGCCCGCGGTGTCCCGTCGGTGTCCCGCGGTGTCCCGCGGTGTCCCGCGGTGCCCCGCGGTGTCCCGCCGGTGTCCCGCGGTGTCCCGCGATGATGATGATGATGATGATAATGATAATGATGATGATGATGATGATGATGATGATGATGATGATGAGATGATGATGATGATGATGATGATGGTGATGCTGATGATGATGATGCTGCTGCTGATGATGATGATGCTGCTGATGATGATGATGATGATGATGATGATATGAGGATGATGGTGTCCCGATGATGATGAGGATGCTGCTGATGATGATAATGACGATGATGATGATGCTGATGGTGTCCCGATGATGAGGAGGATGATGATCATGATGATTATGTTGATGATCATGATGATGACGATGATGGTGTCCCGATGATGATGAGTATGATGATGTTGATGTTGATGATGCTGATTATGATTGTGTCCCGATGATGATGATGTTGATGATGATGAGGTTCATGATGATTATGGCGTCCCGATAATGATTATTATGATGGTGATGATGATGTTGATGATGATGGCGTCCCGATGGTGATGATGATGATGATGATGATGATGATGATGATGATGATGATTGTGATGATGATGATGATGATGATGATGATGATGATGATGATGATGATGATGATGATGATGTTGATGCTGATGTTGGTAATGATGATGTTGGTGCCCAGATGATGACGATGATGCTGATGATGATGTTGATGATGCTGATGATGATGTCGATGATGAGGATGAGATGATGATGATGATGGTGCCCCGATGATGATGATGATAACGATGGTGATCATGATGGTGTCCCGATGATGATGCCGCTGCTGCTGCTGCTGCTGATGATGATGATGATGATGATGATGCTGATGATGATGATGATGATAATGATGATGACGTTGATTGTGAGAGCGGTTGTGATATCGATAGTGAGATCGATAGTGCGACCGAATGTGATATCGATTGTGAGATCGATAGTCAGATCAAGTGTGAGATAGATCGAGTGAGATCGATTGTGAGATCGATCGAGGGAGATCGATCGAGCGAGACCGATACTGAGATCGATAGTGATATCGATAGTGAGACCGATCGAGTGAGACGTTGGTTCCTCCCCCCCCCGAACCTCCTTATCACCCGAAGGGTGGTCGTATAGGTATGAATTAGGGGGGTGGGCGGGAGGAGAGGGGGGGGGGGCGAGACGGGGGGGCGAGACGGGTGGGGGGGCGGGGGGGTCGGTGGTAGCGCCTGCCTGCGCGTCAGTCCGCGTGCTCCGCACTCTGGCCTCGCAGCACCGAGCTGAGCCCGAAGGCGGCCGCCGAGCACAGCGAGGAGACCAGGAACACGTAGTCGAAGTGCAGGTGGACGAACGAGAGGTCCACCTCTCGCCGGCGCACGCGAGGGGGCTGGGGTCTGCGAGGGAGGCGGCCTCTCCCACGGATGCGGGGGGGGGGCTTCTGGGGGGGCGGGGGGCTGCTTCTCAGAAGGGCCCAGGGGCTTCTGAGAAGCCTTCTCAGGGCCCTCTGGGCCCTTCTGACACGGCCCCTGCCTTCGCGGGACTCCCCCCCCCCCGCCTCTGGCGCACGCGGCCTCTCTCGCGCGCTCCGCTCCCCCCCCTTGTGCGCGCCGCCGGGCCTCCCCGACCAGGGCCAGGAGGTTGGCCCTGTCGCTCTTGGGCACGAACCTGAGCGTGAGGAGCATGCAAGCCGCGAAGTACATCGCCATGACCTCGGACAGCAAGAGCGCCAACGCGTTCGAGGTGACCGATGTGGACACCATCCGGAAGACGGCCAAGAGCCTGCGAATGAACTGGTTGAGGTTCATGAAGCTTAGGTAGCCTACAAAAACCAGTGAGAGAACCGGCACCCAGTAAGAGATGTCCAGCGGCACGCGGAGGTGGACCAGGAGCACGCTGAGCAGGCGCGTGGCGGGATCGTCGGCCTGCGCGTTGCCCTTCCTCAGCAGAAGGTTGAAGCTCGCCATCGTGACCTTGTACACGCACAGGGTCGAGCACAGGGTGCCCAAAACATTCATAACCTTGCCGACCCGCGTGCGCGCCTGTTTGGGCACCCGAATGATCTGGGATAGATCTGGTCCGGGTAATTAGGGCCTTGCTTGGGGTCCCCACATGTGCACTGGGAAAATCCCGGAACCACTTCATCCGGGATGGCGCCTGCTTCAGGAGCGTGCTGGACAATGTCTGTCTGCATGGAGCAATCTGTGATCCGGGAGAGCTCGGGTGCAGTGCAAACCGGGAGACCTCGAGCGCTAACACGGGAGGCCTGAATCAGGAGTTAACTATCCCTGACCACCCTTTTCCCTGATCGCTCGGGATTCTGACCTGCAGCTCTCGCAGGCGCTCGCGGATGAGTTCGTCCAGCTCCGTGAAGAGCTCGCAGCTGAAGGCCTCGTTGGGCGTCGCTTCATGGGGAGGCGATGAACGAAGGGGAGGGGGGGGGGGAGGACAGGTGCACTCTCCTCGGGCCCCAAAGGCCCCCCCTTTCGAGCCACAGAGGGCCCCTGGAGGGGCCCCGAAGGGCCCCTTTTCTTTCTGCTGCCCGCGCTGCCCCCCTCCTACCCCTTCTTTCCTCGCTCCCTCCCCAGGCCCCTGATGTCATGATTTTTTCGTTACGTCGACCCCCGAGGTCTGGACCCATTCCCTGGGACCGGTTTTTCGTCCTGAGTCGCTTTCTGACGGCCCCGGGGGCCGGTAAAGGCCCCTGGACGCCCGAAATAGCGAACAACCCACCGTCACGATTTCTTCGTTGCCCAAGGGGGTCTGTGCCCCTTGACGCGACGCCCGACGCCCGACCTCGTAGGCCTGGATCTCCGTCCGGAGGCGCCGCCGCTCCCTCTCCTTTCGGGTCGGGCGAAGGGGGGGGATAGCAAGGGGGGGTTTGAGAATCAGCTCACGTAGCTGATTTTCCCGGCGCCTCCCGGCGCCAGGAGGCGCCCATGTATCGAGGAATGGGCCTGGCGGCGAGGCCGAAACCAGCTGCATGCAGCAAATTCCGTAACCCCCCCTTTCCCAATCTCCCCCTTTCGTCCGGCCCGATCCTTCTCCGCGGCGGCGCCCCCGCCGACCAGGGCCGCGGCCGCCTCCTTGGCGCCCTCCCACGCGTCGCCGAGGCGCTTGAAGAGCCCTCGCCTGCCCTCCGCCGCCAGCTGCCTGCCGAATTTGGACAGACCGCCCTCCTCCTCCCCTCCTCCTCCATCCTCCTCCGTCCCCCTCCTCCTCTCCTCCTCTCATCCTTCCTCCTCCTGAGAACGCCCGTGGGCGAAAGCCCCCTCCGTCCCTCCGCCGCCAGCTGCCTGCCGAGCTTGGACAGACCGCCCTTCCTACAAGTCTCGTCAAACATATCCAGACATGGAAGTTGAAATCCTGGAGCACGATGCTTTCGGGCACTTGTCAGGAAACGCGTTCTTCAATGCTGAGAGGGTGGGGTCGGTTTTTGGACAACACCGCGTCCAAGTCAACAGGCATCCGTCAGCTTTGGTTTAGCGCTGACCCCACAATCACCGAATTCAGAAGTCTTCTGTTTACCTTTGACGAGGCTTGTAAGAACGCCCGTGGGCGAAAGCTGCCGGGGGCACTCCAAGCACGGTCGGACACCCAGGATAGAAGAGCGTCCCTCGAGAACACGAGACCCTTCGCCTGCCAAGACACCCCGAACCATGAGATCAGTCGAGAATCGGGGGGGGCCCCCCCCCCCCCCCCCCCCCAAGATGCACTAGAACATCCAACGAACACGAATAACAATAGGGTACCCTCCCCGAACCGACCTCGATCTTATACCTCGGTCCGACCGCAACCTCGGCATCGCATTCCGAGTGGGCCCGGGCGGAATAGCTAACCGACATCCAAAAGCTACCGAGTGTATCGAGCAACGCACACGTCGATTAGCGAAACCAGCGGGGGACTGCACTGGCACACTCGAATGCCAAGGTCGAGTGAGCCCGTACAGATTTCCTCATTTGACTTGTCAAGGGGGCTATCTGTCAACGACCAAGCCTGGAGGCCATCTCCACCTTCAGGCGGGCCTCCTCCTGCTGCAAGGTCAACTCCTGCCGCTTCTTGGCGGCTATGAGCTTCATGGTGCGGAGGAGCCTCTGCTCCACGTCCGCCACCTGCTGCTGTGTGACGGGCCGCAGGAAGGAGTGCATGCTGCTGTACGGGAAATTGACGGCTCCGAAGCCGGCGAGCATTGCCACCACGGACACGCCGAGAATGCCTATTCTTGCCATCAACACGTCGGCCGAAAGCTGTGTGGACTCGATGTGTATCATCGTGCCGGACACGTAGATCGTATACCAGAACGGCGGCAGCGCGGCTGCAGCGCAGAGGCACGCCACTCGTCGCGAACCTCCAAACATGGAGCGCACCGTGGTCTCCACGAAACAGGCTGGCAAGATCACGTATGCCAGCGCTATGAGGACCCAATGGTCCATCTCCCATGCACTAGCCCGCACCTCTGGGTCGAGGGCGCCCGCCATGGTGGACAGCAACAGCACGAACAGAGCGAGCGACGCCGCGAATGTCGCCGCAAACAGCGCCTGTATGTACCGGTGCTTGACCTCGTAGTCGCGGTAAAGGAGCCTCGCAAAAAACCAGCACGCGCCCTTGAAGAAAGCAACATGCGCGCCGACAAGGAAAACAATGTTGCACCACCTCCAGGTGCCTGGGACTGGGACCTCCGACGAAGAAGGCGAGTCGCTCCACGAGCCGACGGCCGACGGCAATGCTGTCGGCGAGACCTCCTCCCAGGGGACGGCTGCGGCTGCAGCCGGGAGAAGGGCGGCAACAGTCGGCACCGCGCCCATGGCCTCGGAGGAACAGGGCCCGAGGCCGCGCGGCGGCTCGCCCGCTGGACCCCCCCCCCTGCGGTGCGCCTGCCGCTGGAGCCAAAAAATGGCTGCCAACCAGGCAGGGTGGGCCGAGTGCGGCGAGACACCGAGCCGTGTGACCAGAGGACCACCAGCACTGCTGCAATCAGGGGCGCGCAAGCATGGGCTAGCGATCCATGGATGTGGCGCGCGGTCACCAGATCCATGGATCAGGGGAGGTGCCCTCCCCGAAATGCGGCCGGTGCCGCCTCGGTCGACGGCGGAAATCCGCGATTTCCCATGGAAACGGGACCCGTCGCTAATCCACGCCACCTTAATCCATGTTTGCGATCGCCAGATACAACTGAGCAGACCTGCAGCAGTCGCGGGCCACCCCCACCGCCACCGCCCTCAAGGTACCAAGCGACGCGCCGGCATCTGATAGTGCTAGGCCCTGCTGGCTGTGTTGAAGCAGCGCCGTCAATGACGTGCAGACAACGTGGAAGACTTCTCTTCGAACTACGACGCGTCGCTGTCGAAATGTCCGCCACATGTCTGTCTCGTCGCTCGACACTATTGCACATGTGACTGCTTTCCAGCCTGCTTATGAATGAGCTGTCAAGAATCCATCAACGAACGAACGATCAAGAAACGGTGAATAAGAGGTGCAGAGGTGCGTTAACCAAAGGTGCCCGCATATTTTCCCGAGCGATTGCTTGTGTCCTAGTCGGGTTGGGGCGAACGGGCGAACACTGGGCAGGATGGTCATGCTTTCATATGCTTTACCATTGACGCCATCATACACAATGATACCCCTTATCGACTATCAATGCTTTGTGCGCCGCGAGCCTCCTCCCACCTACTAACTACAACAGACACCGAGCGCCGGTAATGCATCCAACAAAGATGGCTGCGATCTGGACGCTGAAGCAAGAAGCCTGCCATATTCAACTGCGCCGGGACCCCTCCCCATGACCAACTTGCGCCTGCGAGCCCCAGCGGTGCGGCAAGCGTGATCGGACGACTGTCTTTGGGGTAAATGGCTCTCGAAGACATGCGGTGTGATGAGGTGCTGGGGCGCCGCCCGCTCGGGAAGCAGCAGCGATCCTCCAGCAGCCCTGCCCACGCACATCCTGGGTCCTGGACAGGCGTACGCGCCCCCCCCCCCACATGGCTCTTGCTGGGCGCGCCTACCAGGGGGCCCCAGATGGGCACGGGCAGGCGACTCGGCGGCGGCGGTGGTGGTGCGCAGCTGCAGCGGAGCGACGAAAAGAAAGGGGTCTTACGCGAGATGGCGTTGCGAACTTGCGCGGTGGCTTGCGCGGGCCGCCAGCGCGGCACGCCACGCTGGAGACGAGGGCGCATCCGCGCGGCCTTACGCGGGCAGCTTGCGCGCAAATGTCGGTGAACACGACCCTGTTTTTTTTGCAACGCTCAGCTGGCGGCGCGCACAGGGGTGCATGGGGGAGGGAGGAAGGCTTGTTGGAAGGAGGCTGCTTCTTGGAAGGCGCGGGCCTCGTCTACAGACGTGTGGGGCTGGCGCTCTTCGAGACGCAGCCGCCTTCAAAGAAGCTTTCCCCCCCCTCCTCCTCCTCCTCCTCCTCCTCCTCCTCCTCCTCCTCCTCCTCCTCCTCCTCCTCCTCCTCTTCCTCCT